ACGAAGTGGAGCAATGTGGAGGTTTCATGTGTTTGGAGTGGGGCGAAGAGACGATGTGGACGATTTATTTACAGAAATAAATCCGTATTTGAAGACATTTCACGAGATATGGGAATATGTGCTCTCCTCTTTTCTCAAAGACCAATGTTTTGCTGACTTTTTTTTGCGATTTCTCGAAAAATTGTGGAAAGCAAAACACTGGGTAATTTTATGCCTGGTTCAGATTACACGATTTTTTTTTTACTGTTTTTTACGATAGTAACTGTGTCAGATTATGCGATTTTGACTCCTAAAATCAAGACACATGTCAGTCTACACGTTGCTTCCTGACCAGTCATCGCGTGCTGTCTTTAACGGTGCGCACGATGTCATCGAGAAGTACGAGTAGTAGTAGCGAGTGACTTCCGGAAACGAACGTAAACAATGGATGAAGCTGTGAGTGTTGTACTAGCTGTCCTGTGTTCAGAAAAAAAAAGTATAAAAAGTAGGGATGCACCGATATGAAAATTTTGGCCGATACCGATAATTCTTTAAATTTGAAAGCCGATAACCGATATATCGGCCGATAAATTTAAATCCAAATTTTTATCTAATTTTGAGAGCCTGATTACAAAACAAAAGTCTCACAATTAAATCCATGTCTCAAGCGCACAATTATATGATGTTCTCATTATAGTGTTGTATAGCCGATATGACAGATTTGCGCTGCACATGTTGTACCGAACCAGATTTTAATTTTTAAAAATCTCTTTTTAAAGAGATTTCAAAAATATTTCAAGAAAATCTAAATCATAAACAGTGCTCAACAAGTGTCTCAGCTGAAGGGAATAATACATTATTTATCGGCTTTAATATATCGGCCACATTTTCCTACAAGGCCGATAACGATAACATTAAAATGAACATATATCGCCGATACCGATATGCTGGCCGATATATCGTGCATCCCTAATAAAAAGAAAAAAAACACGTTCCTGGATTGCTCGATTGGGCTGTCAATCCTCCAAAGAGAACTTGAAGTAAAATATTGTTTTCTTATATATTTTTACTTTTAGTTTTAACGTTAGCACCGTCGTCTCTCTTTCGTTTCGCCATATATATATATATATATATATATATATATATATATATATATATCGATATATTGTGCATCCCTAATAAAAAGAAAAAAAAACACGTTCCTGGATTGCTCGATTGGGCTGTCAATCCTCCAAAGAGAACTTGAAGTAAAATATTGTTTTCTTATATATATTTACTTTTAGTTTTAACGCTAGCACCGTCGTCTCTCTTTCGTTTCGCCATTGTTGAACGTTGTGTACAGAAAAGCTTCTGTGCTCCTATTGGTCGACCTCATACATGTGACGGACGTTAAAAAAATTAAACATGCTAGTCTTTTTGTCGTGATGTCATGAAGCATCGCACACGCGACGTAGGTTTCGCCCACTATGACACACTATACGACATGATGCCGTCCCGACGCCGTTGTCGTTTACGAATCGCCACGGCACCCTACGTCAAACGGATCGTGCCAAAATCAGGCTAAAATCGTGTATTGTTATTCGCATCTGCATCCATTGCATTTCACTCTGTTTTACTTAATTTTCCGGGTCACAACGTCTACATTTGGTAGTTTCAGCAGTGTATAGAGTAAATGCCAAAATCAGATACGGGTCACTTTTAAAAGATGATGTCAAAAAAATCGGATATAGTCAGAAAATCGGATTTGGCCATCAAGACCTGCAGTGTAAATGCACACAGTAGAGCAACATGTCCAAGAAGAGAACGCATGTTGATGTCTGACACACACCTCGCTCTTCCTCCAGGTCTGCGTCTGGCATCATGCACACTCTTTAACACACACGCATCGCTTCAACTTCAACCTGTCTTTTCAGCTCACAGTTCACACTCTATATTCTCACCTCGGCCACCATCTCGCCGTCGGACGGGGAGTCGCTCCTAATTGATTCTGAAAGACTTTTAGATTACTCTGCAGCTCTATAAACCAAAGAACTCCCCTTGCCTTTTCCATAATTAATAGCAAATTGCTTTCTGTATGTATCTTTTCTTCTCTCTTAATCTATCCACAGGGATTATTGCAGGAGTTAATTACATCCCTTACAGACGCCTTCAGTGAGGAGTCATGGCTGAATGCTAAAAAGGAGCGTTAATGCAACTGTCGACATGCGACCCAAAACATATCCTCTTCATATAGCACAAAGCGAAAGATTGGGTTTTGAATGTGGGACATATTTCGACATCAATGCAAATACGCCTTCATTGTAATCTTTCCGGCGCATCAGAAACGAGGGCATCTATTGTTATTCTGTTATTATTGTCTCCCTCAGTGCACCTCAAGCGCTGTGATTTATTGAAGGGTGTCAATGCGTCTGTTTGCGGATCCTGCTTTGCAAAATTCGGTTTGAATTGCATCAGGCTGAAAGTATTACCGTGGAAGCCAATCTGTGTCAGCGCACTAATGAAAATCCTTCAAGAGCTTTTCTGACATGTAGAGCGGAGACCCACAGCAGCCGTTCCCGTCGGAGGAAGCTTTGATTAGCACAGAACTAAAGTATGGATGTATTTCATACATTGCATTCATGATATTGTTGTGTCTTTGTTGGCTGGCAATCATTGAGGTCCATTTGTATTCATCAGAGGAGTTGCAATGTTTCATCCACTATCTGAATAGGATTGCGCCATAAGCCATTAACACCCCCATCTCAGATGCCAGCCTTTCCCTTTGAACAAAGACAGAATCGATTTGTTTATCTAATGCAGAATTACCCAGATTCAAAACCCATTTGGAGAGATAGTCCATCCACGGAGCTCTCTCAAATATTGCGTTACAGAACGAGAGATTTCTTTTTACTACCGTCTCGCATTTATGAGTTTCATATCAACAATCTTTTTTGCGAAACTGCATGTTTTTGGCTTGACATTGATTTAATCTTAAACTGCTGTAATCTCCATGTCACACTGCAATGTTTCCATAAATCTTTTCAAAATGCAAGATTATACAGGCAGAACCAACTTTGAGCTTGATGTTGAGCTTGACCCGGGTGAATAACTATGTACACAACTTTATTTTTAACTGAATTATATTACAATAATTATTGTAATGTTGATTTTCCTGCAACTGGGAATACATTAGAGGCAAAAGCTGATTTAAATGAGTAGATCAGAGCGAAGAGGCTCTGAATAAAAAAAAAATCTATCACATATATCTGTAAATCATTTAATTAATGTTGGTAAAATCCTTTTATTTCGTATAGCAGGGGATGATAAAGTGTCTGGAGAAGCGCATCAAAAATATCAATAGTGCGTCTGTCGGCCTCCAGTGTAGACGCATCGATTAAAATAAAAGCATTTTAGCATTAACATGTTCAGACACGCCGCTCACGTTCTTAGTACACTAACATGAGTGCTGTCTGCTGTCTAATCACCGATAAAATCACTGTGAATCTGCGTTATTATACTTAACTATAACTAAACGCTTAAAAAATGCTGCTACTAGACATTAAACTAACATTAATCGACATAAAATCCCATTTTATTCCAGCTAGTTGCTAAGGATGCTCTTTCATTTGGTTTAAGTAGTGAAATAAATGTAAAACAATTACTAAAACTTTAACAACAATTTTGTTAATAACAGAAAATATAAACATTTTAACTATAATAGTACAATAATAGTATATGTATCATTGAGATACTATTTTATTTGTTACTGATATTCTGAATATGAATTTTTTTTATATTTTCTGTTTTTAATTTTAATTTTAGTTGTGAATGTTTTTCTTTTTAAAATGTCTAAATCGTTTTTATATAATTTTCTTTATTTTAGTTTTAGTTATTTTAGTACAGAAAGTTAAACTACATCAAGATGAAAAAATGCAAAGATGCATTGGCAACTATCTTTTTATGTTTTATTTTAATTCAGTAAACATCTTTCATTTCAAGCAACAATTATGATTATTTTTTAATATGTTTTTATCCCGGGTTCAGACAATAATAACCGCCTGATTTTGGAACGATCCGTTTGACGTAGAGTGTCGTGGCGATTCGTCAGTGTAAAATATCGTCACATCTGTGACATTGACCACTTCCATAAACAGCTTTCAAACATGGCGAAACGAAAGAGACAATGGTATTGGTGCTGGCATAGCATTAAGCTATCACGCCGCTTTTGTTTACGTTCTTGTTTCCAAAAGTCAGTCGCTACCTGCGCCATTTCTATGACATCACACACGTCGTTAAACACGCCAAGTGATGATTGTTCTGACATGTCCATGACACAACAAGAATTTAGGAGTCAAAAGCACAGTGAGTATCACAACAAACAAAAGTATGGTGTAGACTAAACATTTCAGGTTTAGCTAACTACAATGACCCTGAGTAAGGTTTCCACGACACAATTTTCAACTAAAAACGTACAACTTTTTATGCGTTTTGGCCATTCGTTTACACGACAACATCGTTTTGGGTGCCTGAAAAAGCAATCTTTTGAAAACGGGTTTCAATGTGCACATTTTTGAAATTGGTTTCCATATAAAAACGGGAAACTCTGAAGACGAGGGCGGCAGAATACAGTGTTTTAGTCGTTTTTGCGGATCCGTGTGAATGGGTATTGTTTTGACAATGGTTTCGTCTGTACGCTGAAAACTCAAAGGAAAAAACGTCTCAGTTTTAAGCATACTGTTGTCGTATAAACGTACCCTGAAATAACACTGGTGCAAATCACATAGGACAGAAAGCTATTCACGTTCTTGTGTCCATAAGTTAGACGCTAGATCCGCCTTCCTCACGCACGTTCTTAGAGACGGTTTCTTGTCCACAACACTGAGAATTTAGGAGTCAAAAGCACATAATCTGACACGGTGAGTATCATAACAGACAAAAACTATTGTGTAGACTAAAAGTTTTAAATTTAGTTAACTATAATAACCCTGACTAAAATAACACTGGTGCAAATCATAGAGAACAGAATCTGGGACGAAGCTCACCTGTATATGAGGATGTCGTCGGTGGAGCTGTTGTACTGGATCTGGTACATGCGAACTCCAGGGATGTGGTTTTGAGGAGGCCAGCGGATCATCACTGAGCTTGAGGTTATTTCTGAGACACTGACCCGCTGATCAGCTCGAGACTGGCCGCCACTTCCACTACTGTTGGACTTTATGGACGTCGGCATGTCCGAGGGTCCCGGTTCAGGCTCCAGTTTGGGGTCGTAATGTGGCGAAGGGTTCACGACTAATTCCACCGGAGCCGTAGCCTCTCCGGCAGCGTTGGACGCGATGCATGTGAACACGCCGGAGTCTTTCACCGTAGCCGTCAAGATATCCAGAGAGCCATTATCGTAGCACATGGTGCGCGAGGTGTTACCGATTAGCTTCCCGTCAGGACTCACCCAGTGGACGGTCGGCTCAGGGTCTCCGACGGAGCGGCATCTCAAACTAACCTCTTGACCTTCCATCACGAACATCTTCGACGTGTGCCGAGTGATCATGGGCGGCTCGCACACAAACTCCTCCTCGCGAATCGTCCAGAAGTATTTCCCCGCTAGCTCTCGCGGGGACGCGCACGTCTCCAGATCGTCCTCCCGCGTCAGGCGTCGAAGCCAAACCAGCTCGCAATTACAATGCAACGGGTTGCCGCCGAAACTGAGCACTAGCGCGGTTAGCGGCGAGCCTTTTGTTTTCGCGTAGACCGGGATGCGTAGGAAGAGAGGATCCGGCGGGATCTTCTTCAGCTTGTTGGACGTCATATCCAGTCTAGCCAACTTGTGAAGATTTGAAAATATCCCTTCAGGCACGAAGTCGATGAGATTGTGATCCAAACTAAGAGTGTTAACGCTGGATAGCATAGATAGAGTTTCCCATGGCAAATCCACCAGATTGTTATAAGAAAGATCAAGATCTTCAAGAGTTTCTAGAAAGTCTTGAAAGGCTCCATTCGAGATGCTGTGAAGCTGGTTGTTTGCGAGGATAAGGTGCCGTAGATTCACCAGCCCCTGTAAATGTGTGTCGTCCAGCATCGTCAGCCGGTTTGCGTCGAGATGTAGCGCGTGCAGATCCTGCAGGTCGGCGAAGGCGTACGGTTGGATCTGGCTGATGGTGTTTCGGGAGAGCGTGAGGTGTATAAGACTGCTCATGTTAGCGAAGTCTCGGTGGCGCAGGGTGGTGATGAAGTTGTCCATCAGTCGCAGCTCGGCGGTCTGCCGGTCGATGTTGGGTGGGACGAAGAGCAGGCCGGTTTTGGCACACAGGACGGTGTAGGAGGGCAGCAGGTTCTGGCAGGTGCAGCGTTTGGGACACAGCATGGCGTGGGACGGCATGGAGAACAGAGCCAGGACCAGCAGCAGCCGCTCCATGGGTGCAATCCTGCAGGAACCAGAACACAGGGACAAACGCTTTAGCTCTCATGCTGAGTCACTTCCCTCTGTCTGGGAATCTCTCTCCACACACTATAAACTTAAACACACACACACACACACACACACGTTTAAAAGAATACTTGTATTAAACATGCAAATACTGTTGGACACATTAAGACAGTAAGAAGGTAAAACTGAGCAGACATTGTGATTCCTACTTGCATGTATAAAAATTTTCTAATGCGCAACTGGCAAATAAATTAGCACACTTAACATTTTAACAACAACATAATTTATGCATTTTCCACCTGTTGTTCTTCTAACTGAATTGTTTATAAGGACAGTACACCTAAAAGTACATTTCTGTCTTCTGGTGAATGCATGTTTCTAAAATGTATTGAAATAAAAGAAATAGAAAAAAGCTAAAACAAAAGAAAACCAAACAAATATATCTGAGCATCTGTTCCTTTTCCCTTTTTAAATGCAATTTGGAAGATGTGGTTTCTTCTTCAGTGGCTTGATAATATTGTATGCCTAAAAGAGAATGCCATATTTATTGATTGTTTCGGTATCTGAAAAAGTAGAATGAAAAACACTTATATATAGTAACCTTAAGCTTACCCTAAACCTGACCACTTGATGTGACAATTTTATATATTTTAAACTTGATCTCACAATTACCGATTTTTAATTCTAAAAAGGAACAGTCTTCCATACTCATGTCTTTGGAAACCCGTATGACTCTCTTTATCCCACTGAAAAGAAAATGAGTTCCAAGTAAAATGTCCAAGCTTCTCTTTTCCATACAATATAAGTGAATGGCTGTTAAGCTAAATTCTCAATGAATCATATCAAATTAAAATCCTCACATAAAGCTATAAGACTATAGTGCACAAACCCTGTGGCACTTTATTTTCTCCATCATCCACTCGCCTTGCATAGGAGGAAAACTAGCTCAACACCTTTAGTGATAAAGTCATATAGTATTGAAGTACCATGAGGGAAAGTAAATGATGATACAAATCATTAACTCTATTTTCAAAACATGCAGGGTTTGTTCATCTCAGTCGCTGCGAGACTGAGAAACTGCTTATTTAATTTCACCAAAGCTGATGTTGATCACAACATTAGG